ACTGCAAATAAGTGGTAGCTATAAGAAGACAGATTTTGGTAAGACCAAATGACAGCAACAAAGGGAGGAGGAAGAGGTAGAAAGAAGAGAAGAGAAAAACAAGGAGTAGAGGCAAAAAGAAACACAATTATACTTGCTTACAAACAGATTATTCCTCATGAGACAGTGAGGGTTCCATCACTGAAGCTAGTCAAGCACAGGCTGGAGGACCATCGGGAGGGATGTTCTGGAGAGGATGCAAACAGTGGAAAATGAATCGTGTAGCATGTCCCCCAGAACTAAGATGCTGTGATTCTATTTCTCTTTCTCAACAGTTATAGGTGTGGCCACTTAGAGAAACAGAAAAAATAAAAACCAAGAAAATTATGGTCCAAATATCCTAAATGTATAAAGCAGATATTCTAGTAGATTTAAAAATGTTTACAAGCCATTAACTAATCAAAAATAAAGGGAAGGGAAGAATTGAAGAGCTTCAAGGTAATGCTCAAGGAACCACTCCCAAATGAGGTCCAACCATAAATGAAGAGCTGGCATTGGAAACAATGAAGACAAGGATTCAGTTGACCCACAGTGTTCCTCAAATGCATCTATTCTTTTAAGATAGATTATTAAAATAAATGGGTTGCCTAAAAGTCATGGAATTTGGAAGCTTTATTTCCTTAACATTAAATCACAAGGCTTCAGCCTCTCAATCCCCCATCTAACATCAGCCAATAGATTTAACGTTTTGACACTTTCAGAGAAAGATAGCTGAGCCTTGGCTGAAGACTGTCTTAGAATATTTTGCAAGAAAAAACAAGCTCTGCTGAGCTGGTAATAATCCAGATTACCATCCATTTCCCCTTTTAGAGGCACAATGGATTTTAACCAGTTTTCTGTTTTATAAATATTACCATGGCTCAAAACATCTATGAGGAGACACAACATTACTTGTGGCTCTCATCCTGTTTGCTAACTAATTATATCAACAACCTGAACCAACTTAACACTATACAAAAACACAGCTGATTTAGCAATCTGTAAATTATACATGTACATAAATCTGTACTAAAATGTGCTGTGTTTCACTCCTGCTAATGTGCATGGATTCTTACTGGCACCTACAATTGTTTGATATAGGTTCCCGAACACTAAAACATATGTTCTGCCCAGAATGGGACCATTTAGAGTAATATTTTTGTAGTTTCCTGGCACTAAGGTCTGCCAGCCTTTCTAAGACAGATCTCCTATTTGCTTCAGCGAACATTCTGACAACAAGTGCCTGCAGATTTAAGCAACTATCAAAAAATATTCTGTAACAACACTTTCCATCCATGAATATAAAGAGAAACGGGCTGGTTTTGCCTATGTGGCAACAAAGCCAGTAGGATTTAAAATGATCACTGACATGACCATAAGCAAAATCAAATAAAATATGGAGTATTAATTATTTCTGCTGCCTACTTATGGCAATAAAAAAAACAGATAATTATCAAATCTTTCCTTCAATTGGGATTCAAAGTGTACCAAAGAAAGTTAAAGTACATTTAATACCAGCAAGACCAGTAAACACCTTAGAAATGTTTTTTAAATACAGTGACAGGCCTAAACAGTTTCAGCCAGTCAACACTGTAAAATAGGGGCAAGAACCCTGGACCAAGATTCACTAGAATGTAATTTGCTAATCACAAGGAGGGTTTCTTGTTTACCACTGTATCCTCAGTGTTCCATAAATACATTCAATAAATCTTTGTTGAATGAATAAACCAGTAACAACTACTGGCTAGTCCCTGATCTGTCTCTAATTGCCTTTTCCTAACTCTGCCTCTTACTAACTGTAGGTAAATCACTTAACCTGAGGATTCTTAGGTGAGTTTTAGTTTTAGGATTTTAGTTCCTTAAATTCTAAAATGGAGACACTGCACCTCCTCTACTAGCTTATAAGGATCAAAGGCGATATTCTATGAAAAGTGACTTGGTACTTTATAATGGGGCACACAGATGTTAAGTGCCCATTATCCCCGCCTTTGCCTTCAGCTAAACCACTGACAAAGGTGAACAGACTGCATTTCCTTGAAATATAATTAGCCTCTCCTTTGCCCTATTATTCTGTTGAGATGTAGTAGTGTGGCTGTTAGCCAAGATGGATGTTGTTCTTGTTGTTATAGCATTTTCTTTAATCTCCACTCGGAAATTATGCTTCTTGAGAGAATATAATGGTAACACGAGGAAAGTGTTTTTGCATGGTGTACCATAAAGAATATGACATTGGATTCAAATGGTTTGGGGCCTCATCAGTTCTGCCCTTAAATATTTGAGGAAAGTCTCTTGCATCAGTTTCCTTATTTATACAGTGATGGGGAAGGAGAGGCAGACTAGATAATAATTAAGGTCTGTCTCTTCCTACAGTTCTATGACATTCCAGACATCAGATATTCAAATAACCCAAAATGAAGTCAGTACTACTGTTCATTATCATATGAGAAGTTTTTAAAGGATGATAAAAATAGTTCCACAGACTAAATCATAAAAGCTGAAGAAATAATAATGCTGAGAGAAGGATATATGATATATGTCCTCTAAGGAATACCAGCCTCAGGCATTGTTTGCTCTGCCACTTTGAATAAGCCACTTACTATTCCTAGGACTCAGTTTTCTGATCTGTAAAAGAGGAACATTAATAGTGCACAGGACCACTGGGAGAAAACACCTAATAAAATGATCATAAAACATTGCTTTTCCAAGGTAAAATGCTATTTTAATACCATAATGTCCAAAAAAAGGGCTCATGGATTTTAGAACGAGACAATCAATATCTTTAAATAGACTTTTTCCACCACAGTAAAATAATATAATGCACGCAGATATTGTGATATTTCCAGGAGTTCGCATTTTTCTTCCATTTGTGTTCAGGAAATATTATAAAAAGGATCACCTTTTAAACATTAAGTGCCATATTTCAAGATGAGAATCATTTCTTCTGAAATAATAATTTTAAAAATTCATCCAACTCTCCCAAGATGCTTCATTTTTGTTGAAGCTATTCGTTTGACTGGTTCATTGAAATCAACCTGCTGAAACTGATGTTGAAATGACAACGCCCATCCTAAAAATATTCCCAGTGACTTACTCTAGTCACATTCTATGCTTACAGAGGGAAAGTGGCTCTAATAAGATCAACTAAACTAGACAGTATTCTGCCTTCACAGCTCCAAGATTCTTGAGGTTCTCTTACAAACCCAAGGCATCTTGTGACTTTTACATGTAAGTTTCTCTTCCTGCTCCCTCCACTCAAAAATATACACAGTATACATTGGGGTTTCCCCTCTAACTTACAGGGTACTGCCTCTTTACTGAAAAATAGAATTGTCATTGGTATTTATGAGGAAGTTGGTGTCACTGACAATGGGATAACCAAATTTTCAAGATTTTCTCCATACCCCTTAATAGTCCAATAAAAATAGCAATAATAGCACAGTAACTCTTAGTTATTTTATTTAAAAATCCATGAACACCTCCAGCTTTTTTTATGGCAAAACAGTTCATTGTGGCTGTTCACATAGTAATTATCATCCCCTTGCATCCCCAGGTAATGACTGTGACCTTGACCTAAAAGCCACCTTAGTTTGAATAAGGAAGACCTTGAAAGCAAAGGTGACTGACCAGAAACACTCTTAGGAGGCACACAATGAAGAAATGATCATTTCTAAGAAAGCACTTAAATAATACATGATTATTTGCTATGCTAGTTGATGTGTTTTATTATAAGATAAACTTAAATCACTGTTTAATTAAAGAGTATTAGTAACATAAGTTACTTTTCATGCCCTTCCCCTGAATCCCTAACTAAATCCAAACAGAATCTCATCTGAAATCTTGAGATTTACACATGATTAAAACCCATTTCCTAAGTTAGCTCCTCATGTCCCCCTGGTAGAAGAATGTCATCTGTTTCTGGAAGGGGTGGGGTGGGGGGTCTAGGAGTCTGCAAAGAGCATCTTATGCTTGGCTGTCTTTCAATGTAGCGTTTGATGAGCTCGTGCGCTGCGCTTTCCAACTGCCAGGACTCCTTTTTGCTCTGCAAGTGCTTAGCTGGGGTCTCTCCGCTGTAAGTCCAAAAGCGTTTGGAATTCTTCCTTACCATCCCTGCTCCTAGGACTCTCGCCTCTCAAGGCTTCATGCTACCGTCGATCTTAATGCCACAAGGAAACAGATGAGTGCTGATGATCAGTGTATTGGGTAATGGATCTATTTATAGGTTTGGTGAGATTGGGAATTTATAAGTGAGCAACACTTAAGGGTGGCATAAAACAGTTGTGGGTTTGGAAGACAGGAAATATAACAGGTTTGTACCTGTGACCATTTAGTCCGCTCTGCACCTGTGCCCTCCACTTCCCACCTGACGCCAGGAGAACCATCTGCCCCTCACTTCGAAGGTGAGCTTTAACTTCACCTGGAAAGGGGTGGGGGAGTGAAGGGGTGGAATCAGGCCGCCGACAGCACTTCCCCACACCTCGGACTTTTCAGTTGCAGGGATGGAAGGTGGAGGCAGCTGCATCCTCCCATTCTGAGGCAACGGGGACCGGGAGTTGCCCGTCTCTACTGCTTGCTCTCCCTGGGGAGAGGCGGCGCCTCCGGGAGCCCCAGAGCCTTCGCGGAAGGGTGGGCAGTGCCGACGGGGCACGCGCTGCCGCTCCGGCTGCGGCCAGCTTTCCATCACTTTTCCCAGGACTTTGCTCAGCAGCTGTCACGCACCCTTGGAGATGAGACCGAGAGGGCGCGAGAAAGGCCCAAAAGGCGTCCCCAGAAGAGCTCTCCTGTTAGGATGGGGACCCATCAGACCCCGCCCCGCCCTGCCCACCTTTCTCTGCCTCGGGGAGGCTGCCCTGGGTGCCCGCTCCGCGGCTCCTTAGCAGAGCTCGCGGGTTCTGCTGCATCTGCTGGCTCCGAGCGGCGAGAGGTTCTGCAATAAAAGCACGGATAAAACGCCCGGGTAATCGAAATCCGAATGCACCTCTTACCATTGGACCGCCGGACAATATTCTCCAGAAACGTGTTCTGCGGGGCCACCAGTCCCCTCCTGCCCCCAGCCATGGTCATTCTCCCAGCAGCTCAGGGTCCGGGGGGCGTCCTGGCGCGGCTTCTTACGACAGCAGGAAACTGGACTCGGGGCCCGCACGCAGTCCCGGCTCGAAGCGCCCCATGCGCCCCGCGGGGACCCGCAGGCAGGGCTGGCGGCTCCCTACAGCTGCTACCCTCGCGCCCTCTTCGCGCCTCCCTCCCTGCGGCCCGCCTCGCAGTGCACTCGCGCCGGCCTCGGCTCGCTGCAGCCGCCTCCGGGTGGGCGGAGGGAGCAGCGGCGCCTAGGCCGGCGGCGCCCCCTACCGGGCTCGTGCCCCCCGCCGGCCTGCGGGAGACCAAGCTTTGGGGTTCCCGCAGAGGCCGGGAAGCGGCGGGCGGCCGTGGACCAAGGCTGGGACGGCAGCGCCACCCTCTGGGTACAGCCGGGAAATGTGTTCAGGATGTGCCTTGGGTTTGGTGGAGAGGGCATTGTGAGCAGCTTTCAGGGCGGATTCACCCCTAACAAGTCTTGGGGGAGCGTGCTGATGTAACTCTCTTCCTTTGCTCTGTTTCAGGCCAGGGACCCCGGGACGTCTAAGGCTCTGGGAACACCTTCTTGCCTTCCTGTAAGATTTGTCAGCCTGACTAGTGAAAGTTGCCCCACCTTGATTCTAGGCCAGTGTTGGAGCAGTAATTAATGAAGTTGTATTGCAATAATGCAGATTTACAGAGTGACTGGCAGATTCAGCTTCAGAAGAGTTGTCTTGGGTTGTTTTTACCGTAGACACAAATGCAGGCTCCTGATGTTTGGTATGATCAATATGAAGCTGCCTGACAAACATCAAAAACGGTGGACTTGTCTCTAAGGACCAATGGTCAGGGGAGGGGCAGTATTAATTAAGCAACCGTGGCTTTGGCTTGAAGGGTAGTCTGTAGTGCAGAGGATACAGTTAGTTTTTACAGCTGACCCCTAGTATACGGAAGAACCACGTACATCCAAGGTTTCTGGACAGGGGCTAAGACAATAGTCGTTTGTTCACTTATTTTGGGGGATTTCGAACCAAACATACTCTGTACCTGCCTTTTTACTATATATCCCCCGTCGGTGTGGTGGGAGACTAAGCCTATGTCCCACAGAGGAAATGAATGGAGAGTTTACTAGTTTCAGACCGAGTCAACAGTCAACACGAAAATGTAAGAGGAAAAAAAAACTGACCCCGGAAATTAATTGTCTGAGTTAGCCATCCTGACATATCCTAATGTATTGCAAAGACATCCTGTCTCAGTTAATTAATCTCAAAAACAGAAGAACTAATTCTTGCCCAGAAATCTCTCAGAGTTGCTGTGAAGATCAAGCAAGATTATGTATGGGGACAGCACCCTAAATTGTAAAGTGCTTTGCCAAGGTCAGATGTCATTATTGGAGTGACTAAATAAATTGGGCCATTACGAATATCACCCTTTGTCTCGTCTTGTGAAGAGACAAAGTAAACAGATTGCTGTTAGCAGAGAGTTAAATAAGGTTGTCATAGGATTTGAAATGAAAGTAATGATACACTTTTCCCTTAAGATAGCCTTCTACCCATTGCCTGTCACCCAGTCTAGAACTGTGATTTCTTAAACCCTAGCTCCGTCTAGTGGTTCTTTGTTCTATTACAAATGAGATAACACAGTGGTTGAAGAGAACTTGACTCTCAAATGCATTTGGTGCTGAGCTGAGCCAGTTTGGTGCCTATCGACTTCATTTAAATAAGTTCATTTAAATAAGGTTTTTAAAGTTGTGTTATCGCACAAACATGCCAAGGGAAGATTTTTCATGACAATATTAAAAACCCATCAAGAAACGTCATAATCCTGCTTGTGAAAGGAAGATAAAGAAAATAATGCGGAGGAGAAAACTATCATAGAGTTAATAAAATTTGTAAGGTTTTAATGAGCTCTCATGTTCTATGGCTTAGATAAAAAAGGAAACAGATGATATTAGTTTGAGATGAGAGATGTTAAAGCCTTGGTGGGCTACCTGATAAGAAAAAGAAATGAGATGTCTTCTATTTTAAATGTGCTACTGAAATGGATCTCAACATGGACTGTGCGTGCGTGTGTGTGTGCATACGTGTGTGTGTGTGTGTGTATTGGCACCTTTTTGAATACTACAATTTTTGGTGGCACACTTGAAGACATTAAAAGACCTAAAACAAAGTAGTGCTACTACAAAGTGGTCCTTTTTTTAAAGTTTTAAACCTCCAGATTGTGTGCCATAACACGATCACATTATTTCATATCTTTTTGCTTAAATAAGACTGGATGCTTATAAAAGCACTGTTATACTGTGTTATGGCACTTTAAGTACTTGCTTAGAAATGATCATTTCTTCATTGTATGCTTCGTAAGAGTGTTTCTGGTCAGTCACCTTTCCTTTCAAGGTCTTCCTTATTCAAACTAACTAAGGTGGCTTTTAGGTCAAGATCACAGTCATTACCTGGGGATGCAAGAGGAAGATAATTACTACGTGAACAGCACAATGAACTGTTTTTGCCATAAAAAAAAAAGCTGGAGGTGTTCATGATTTTTAAATAAAATAAATATTTAAGAGTTAAATTGTTCAAAAGTCAGCAATCTTTCATCACAATGTGAGTGTCTCACAGTGTCTGTGGAGGTACATCCAATTTTTCCCCCATTCCCTTGGTTCACTCACAACACATCTGACTGTAAGAATAGAATCACATTCTCCCCTGTCCACAGCCACATTCTCAATATTCCAGTAAACACTCCCTCTTTCTTGGTGCTAGTTGACAGGATACTGTGCTTCTTACCTTTTACTTGCCACCTTCTGTTCCCTCCTTAACATTGAGTTCCAGCACCTGCTCAACTTAAAAGTTCTGTCTGAGATCTACCTCTGTAATATAGGAATCTCAGTTAGAGTAAATTTTAATCTTACAGATTTGTCGAAACTTGGTTACAGATTCATGAAGGATTCACAATATACCAATGTACCTTGGAAAACAGTTGAGAACGCTTATATTTTTGCATAACATACAAAGCCACTCCTTCATTTAAAGGGACAACTTTAGATAACTGTGACCAGAGTTCCAATTCAACTGCCTCTATCCATCTGTGCGGAAAATGTAGCCCATTTTCTGCAGGGAGACAGAGTTCAGATACAGAGTTGGAAATAAATTCTAAAATGTGAGTCTACTGCTTCTAGGCTTCTTTCCTCCTCAGGGGCTCTCCTCCTGTATCCCTCAGCATTTTGTTTACCCCTTAGCTATAAGATGTGTTTATGTCTGTATCATGCTGTAGATTATGTCTGTATCACGCTCCTTGAAACAAAGACACACTATAACTATCTTTGTTCTCATAAATGCTATTAAGCTACACTGTAGTTAGTGAGTTCACAAATGTAATAGATAGTGATGGAGGTATAATGCTATAGGGAGAATATGGAGATGGTGGTCTGCAGATTGGCTGGGAAAAGAGTCCAGGAGATGACAGAAAAATCTCTCCCCGCAACAACAACAACAACAACAAGTCTATCGGCCGGGCACGGTGGCTCAAGCCTGTAATCCCAGCACTTTGGGAGGCCGAGACGGGTGGATCACGAGGTCAGGAGATCAAGACCATCCTGGCTAACACGGTGAAACCCTGTCTCTACTAAAAAAATACAAAAAAACTAGCCGGGCGAGGTGGTGGTCACCTGTAGTCCCAACTACTCGGGAGGCTGAGGCAAGAGAATGGCGTAAACCCGGGAGGCAGAGCTTGCAGTGAGCCGAGGTTGCGCCACTGCACTCCAGCCTGGGCGACAGAGCGAGACTCCGTTTCAAAAAAAAAAAAAATAATAAGTCTACCAAACGAAGAGGATGACAATGCCACACATCAGAAGAGGCAAATGGTATCATATAAAGACAGGAACTTCATTTTTCCTTCCATTAAGACCACTAGGTGTGGGTGACAGATTTTTGAAAGCCGGGAACCTCTCTAACGTAGGAAAGTTGCCTGTGAGTCCTAGAAGGTCTGAGAGCTGGAAGGGGCAGGCCACAGATGCATCATCATAAGCAACTTAAGTGGAGGAGAAATTGAACATAGAGGCGACTTCACTATTCAGCCACCATGAGTGAAATATCTAAATATCTAAAAGTGGAGAGGAATTTGCAGCATGAGAAATTTCAGCTTCTATAGCCCAATGACTGACTGACTTCTTGTATGTAATTTCTGTTAACAAAACTTCTATTTGAATCAACTTATAGGAAGAATGTTGGGCAGACTAAATACATTGAAAAAAATGATTCCCTACTATAGATGTATCTCCCTAGTGTTGGGAGAAGGGACAGAATCTGCTTCAAAGGAAATACTAGTCCCTGAATTCGATTGACTAGGGGCAAAGAATGCACTGATGTGGGTCTACACTTACCCATGGCTAACCCAACAGACAGTGTGAAGCGTTTGTAGAATTGAGTTATATCCTTCCAAGTGCCCTAAGCTATTCTTCCTTCTCATTTCCTCTAAACAAAAGAGAAAAGGATCTTTTATCACACCCTTCCCTCAGTGGGAAATAATTAAAAGTCATTTACAACAGTCTCATTTTATTATAACAAACATTTGCATGGTGTCTAGTATATAGCAGACACTGGGATAGGTTCTAAGGATTAAAAGATGGTTATGACTGGCACCTGCTCACAAGAAATTCAACAAACACTTAATGAATGTGTATGTTCTTCATGATTTCTTTCAACTGCTTTCCTGTCTCCAACATGCCCTCTAAATCTTCCTTTCTTTTTAAATAAACTATAGTTCAACTTGACCTCTTCGCTTAAGATTTTTTTTTTTTTTTTGAGACAGGGTCTCAAAAAAGCCAGAAGTTCAGGTGAGAATTTGTCTAGTTCCTCATTGCCATATTTAAACCACTGCTCTTCTCCATTCATATAAAATGTCTCCTACTTTGAAGTTCATGACCAATGACAATATCACTATTACTTCCCTTCAATTCTTAAAACAAACTTGGGGAAAACTGTATTCAGTTATGAAAAGGCTGAGTTGCCTGCAGGACATTTCAGAGAAATATCAAGTAGGAAGTTGGATATTCACATCTAGAACCCAAGAGAAACATCTGGGTGGTGCTCGAAATTGGAAATCACCAGTTTATAGCTTTCAAAGGAGACTGAGAAGGAGCAGTTTAGAAGTGGAGGGAACTGAGAGAAGTGGTTTTATAGAA